TTCGTATAATTCCCCTTTTTCGACTGTACGCTTTCATGTTGTAGGATGAACATAGAAGGAAGTTATTAATTTGGTCTCTTGCTAAAACATGGTAATCAAAGGCGACCGAAGGGTTAAATTACAATAATTCGTCCATACATTTTTTTTTTTTGGTACTATAATTTATATTGTAAACCAATTAAAACGGAAGAGAATAAACTATTCACATTGTCTTTTCTTGCCTATATTCAAATGACAATAGATTTTCAATTTTCTCAAAAGAAACAATTAGTTATCTTTGAATCCGAACCATCTATTTCAACCTAATATCCTTCATATCATATGTCTATCTATACTTTCGAGATAAGATCTTATATAGTTAAGGTACCAAAGATATAAAGTCCAGTATATCTAACATGTTTATTTAATAAATATCTTAATATTGTCCCGAGTAAAACGTGATATAGCAGTATTTTATTAGTACTTAACAAGAGTGCCAGCAGGCAGGGGCTGAGCCAATATATAAGTTACAGGTTTGGCCGAACTCAATAATTTTGATTTAAATCTCATATTTATTTAAAAAATTCACTGAATATGTGCAAATTATTAATTTAAAACTCATTAACTTAGAATAATTAAAATTTTGAACTCATAAATTTCGAATTCTGGTTCCATCACTGTCAACTGGTTAAGGTGTCCAAACCATCTATCTGTGTATGCCAACCATGACATCATATCTTTGAAATGGCAAAACAATTTATTGTGCGATAATGAGGAGTACAACCAAAAGTAGCTAATTAAATGATCTTAAATCAATAGCTTTGCGTGATTTATCGGACAATATTGTGAGGAGACTTTGCCATTTCCGGTGTCCGATAAATCAGGCAAAGTTATTGATTTAAGATCATTTAATTAACTACCAAATTTTCTTCCTCCCTACTTCCTACGATGGATTAGTTATAGATTTATAGGGTCCAGCAAGGTAGGTTTAGTTATAGATTTATAGGGTTCAGCAAGCTCTATCAATAGCCGTTGCCTTTTTTCTTTTTTCTTTTTTTTGCCTAATCGCTTTATACTTGTAATACAGTACTCTCATTTTCCTTCTATTTCAATTTTCAGATGTTTCAATATTCATGATTAATTATCAATTAAGATTTGTGACGTATATGGCTCATTAAAAGAGGAAACTTCCGTGAAAAGGATCCATAGGTTTGAACTCAAAACTTTTGAGTAAGAGTAAATTATTCCATTCATCCGCCACATGCCTTAGCCGTTGGGCATGATTATTAAATAAGCGTTATCTTTTATTGTATATGAATTAACGATATGATTTCAAAATTGTGCATAATGTAAATTTTAAAAAATATTTTGAATTAAATTGGGTTCCATCATACCAGTGATAATGTTTGAGGAGCTTTAATTATGTAGGTAATATCACAAAAGTGGAATTATTTCCAGACAACCCAAAAATAAAAGTAAAGCTTTTTATTCAAGATATATTCCGTATTTGTGAATGAATTTTGTTAAATGCAAACTATGAAATACCTTAGATGAGGTATTTTAAAAGGGCGACGAAAGTGTTCCAACTTCCAAAACAAGAAAACTATAACCATATATGTTTATATATATATATATATATCAATTAATAATTAATTAATATATATTTATACTTCAATGTCTTACTTAACCACAGTATAATCATGTAATTTGATCTAAACATCATATACGAGGAAATTTTCTTTCAATTATGTCCGATAATTCATCAATCAAGCGAACACGAGAAAGAAAGAAGCTAAAATTTTGACATTATTCTTACGAAATCAAACGTGCTAAACATAGTAAAGGAGTCGTTTCTGTGAATGTTTTGATAACAATAGCTTTTCATTTCTTTAGAACAACACTACGTAATAAATAATAATCTATATTAGCAATATGGCCATCTTCAATCCCCAATACGAGGACTCACATAAATATTTTCGATGGTGCCACTTATTCGTTCGACGTACAATAATACATTTAATTATTTTATAAAATACGTGAGTGAAATATCAAATGTTGATGTTCGTACAATAATATCCACAATTTTTGAATAGCGAAGCTCTGTAACAAAAAATGATGTATTATATTAAACGGTCATTTACGTAACTTGTTTACATTAATCCTTTTGTACCTACTAACTAATGTACTTGAGTTGTATTACCTCTAACTCCAAAAAGACATTATATTAATTGAATTAAAAGAATTAGTAGTCCCAAAATTAAGATTTATTTCTTATAGCAAAGATTCACTTGTAGGACACCATATTTTAATGAATTGACATAATTTTAGTTGATTTGTTTGTTTCTTTGATCTCCTCCATCCCACCCTACAATTTGATCATTTGTTCTCGAGGATCCGACATTAATTATCTCATACCTATTAATTGATTGTATCGGAGATGCATTTCCTATAACTGCCCAGAAAGACATTATATGAATTGGATTAAGAGAATCAGTCATCCTAAAATTAAGATTTATTTTCGGTAGCAAATATTCATTCGTAGCATGTTATATTTTAATGGATTGATGTAATTTTTGGTTGATTTGTTTGTTTCTTTGCTTCCCTCACGCCGACCTTACTATTTGATCATCTATTTCCTTGAGGACCTGACATTAATTCTCTCATACATACTAATTGATGTACCTAAAATGTATTTCCTCTAGTTCCCAAGAAAGACATTATATGAATTGGATTGACAAGTACATAAAATTAGAATTTAGTTCTTGCGGCAAATATTCACTTGTAGCATACCAATTTTAATGGGTTGATGTAATTTTTGTCGATTTGTTTGCTTCTTTGCTCCCCGCTTGCCCACCCTACAATTTGATCATCTGCATTCGAAGATCCGACATTAATCCTCTCATACCTACTAACTAATTTACTTGAAATGCATCTCCTTTAGCTCCCAAGAAAGACATGATATGAATTAGATTGAAAGGATCAATCAGTCTAAAATATAATTAGGATTTATTTCTTATCGTAAATATTCATTTATAGCATACCATATTTTAATAAATTGATGCAATTTTAGTTGATTTGCTTGTTTCTTTGCTCCCCTCCTGCCCACCCTATACTATTGATCCATTGCCTCTTGTAACTAGTATTTTTTTTTAAAGGAATCTTCAAAATTTATTTGAAAAATTTATGTCTTCCCTTATTTCTAGCAAGTTGCATCTAAGACTAAAAAATCAGAAAATATTAGTATAAGCACGAAAAAGTCATAATTTGAAGTTATAATAAATCATAAATGACACGAGCAGTTAATACCTTACAGTATAAAATATAAAATCCATCAATGTGTTCCATTGATTGGCCAGTCAAACATTAAAATTAAATGTTGAAGCATTTTTTTTTTAAAAAATTTTAGCATTCATTACGAATACATGTGTACTTCAAAAATTATATTTTGACATACTTCATAATTGCCTTTAAGCTCTCTGAGAAATTACTAGTACTAGATACTGGTTGGAAGAGTAAAAACGGAGCCCAAAATATTTATATGTTAAGTTTACTATTTTAAACTTTTTATTTAAGAATAGGATCGCCGATCTTGGGATGGACATCAAACAGCTACGAACTACTTTTATAGTAGCCTTATTGTCAATAGATTTCTTTGGGAGGTATGTCGTTACTGACATTTTTATTATGCATTTTGGTATTTGTTTATAAAATAATATATGTTTCTCAACCCCAAAAATAAAAAATAAAAAAACCGACCTAGTCTGAAGACTCTTAACGCCCTAAACAATAATAATAACACATGTCTATAAATGTAGCTAGCATTTGAAATACTAATTCACGGATCATGAACGTATCTTAATTAGATTTATATAAAATTATTACCATAACTACAATAACGTCAAGGTGCTCCGATATAAACATGATAGATTAGTTGACAAGCTAGTAGCAAAAGCATAGATTTTAACAATAACGCACGTTAAATTTTATTTTATGAATGATGATTCAATTAAAAATCAAAATTAAACCACATCGACGACGACATGGGATCCTACAAGCAAGACTTGCATAGTATTTAATGTTTTTATAACCTCAAAATCAATATTGATTGGGACCACATAAATTTCACGTTAAGTGAAATAGTGTCACTTTTTTTGATGCAAAAATACAAAATTTAAAATTAAATTATGAGGTAAAATATTGTAGTTATTAAACAGACTATAACTGCACCAACAATTTAAGAAAAGTACGAAATAATCTATTTAATAATAAACCATAATTAAACTCTAACTCATGAAAAAGAACTTATACTTAGAACCAAATGATTAAGTATTTTTTAACTAAATAAATTGAACCAAAATGTGAACTTGCGTATTATTCGTTTGCAAGAGAAAAGACAAGCCAATTAACTTTTAGGATATTATTAAAACGATAATCAATGTCATTGCAATTATCATGTTGTTCCTCCTCTTGAAAAACAATGTAATAAAAAGTAAAAGAAAAGAAAAGGAAAAAAGGAAACATGTGGTACCAAATAATGTATTATCACATGCTCCAATCTCCAAGCAATAAAAATGTAATAGTAGCGTGGTCCGTGCTGGTAAGGAGGGAAAATAAACGAGACCGAACAAATCCACTGTGTGTGTGTGTGTTTGCTCGTACGCCGCAAGCGAGTGAGAAAGAGAGAGAGAAGGCAGTGCGTGTTGTTACTGTTCACTGAACGAATAACACGTCAAATGTTCATTCAAACACCTTCCTAATCTCCGCCATAGATTTATAGCTCCCAAATATTTTCCTTTTCTATTAAAATACACATTAGGATATATATTCTCCAATTAGATTGTACATAGTAAGTATTTTATTTTTCTCGGATTTTTCTTTTCATGTTTTGCACAATCGCCCTTTACGACTTTCAAAATTAACATTTGCTACCACCTATATAATCAATATCGAGAGAGAGAGAGAGAGAGAGAGAGAGAGAGAGAGAGAGAGAGAGAGAGAGAGAGAGAGAGAGAGAGAGAGAGAGAGAGAGAGAGAGAGAGAGAGAGGGTACGGATAATACACATTTGGATTTTTGGGGGTTTTCTTTGTGCTATTTTTGTTCATTGCATGCGTTGAATTGTTGAGATAATTACGGTTTGAATGGTATCCTCAAACAAAGGCAAAGGTGGATGCTTAATCTTAATCGATCGTCTCCTTGTCGGCGATGTCTAAACACAACAAGGAACGAACTCTCAATGACTTGTACAATGTGACTTTCACTCTCCCCCAACCTAAGGCACGTCATTTGCCCTTTTTTAAAATTCAATTAGGGTTTTCTTCCTGTGTTTTTTTGCCTTATATCCTATCAATTCATCAGTAGATAATAGCTTCAATTGATGCCCTTGTCTTTCAGTTTTAACTGCCTCCTAAATCGTTGCATCAATCAAAAGTTTCGTTTTTTTTTTATCTCAATCGGAATCAGTATGGAACAGCATCGTTTGTGGATAAATTTCAATGTTGATTTGTTCCTGATACTTGTTTGAAGACGATTTTTCAGTTCTGTAAAGATTAGGGTTTCCGATTAATCAAATTTTTACTTTTTATAATTTATTATTTCCTTCCTATATGCATACTGGAGTTGTGGGATTTATTCAGTTCAGTTTATGTTATTGAAGTTGTTATGCTTTGGCATGTTACACGATCTGTTTGCTGCAGTACTGTTGTTTTTAGATTTTGTATGATGCTATTTGGCTTTGGCTGATAGTGTATTTAATACGTTTTTAGATCACCACTGTGTTGAGAGGAAGCTATCGAATGCAAGGGCCGTTTGATGAACCTATATGTAACTCCCAGACGTATACGGTGAGACTACAGGGTAATTTACGTGCTGTGTGCTCGTTCTTCTGACTCATTATTCTCTTCCATTACCATTCACTTCCTATTTGCTGTCGATTAGTTTGTTTGGAAAATGTATGTAAATTGCGGGTTTTAGTTCTTTTTTATCCTGGAGTCGCCTGGAGTTTGACACTCCCCTGAATTATGCTTCACAACATTGTTAAGATATTTTTTGTTGGCTTTTCGGAAATTTGGTTGTTTACTGTGGAGAGCATTGCCATTTCTTGGGCTATATTATGGCATCATTGATAATTACAAGCTGTTAGCAACTTAGCAGAAATGTGTAATGTGGTGCAAGTAGAATGTGTCTGGTTGAATCTAGCATTTTGCATTATCTTTCTAATGGAAGGATGTGAGAGAATCTTTTTCCTGTATTTGGTAACAGACCTTTAGAATAGGCAATATCTGAACAAAATGTTAATCATAGGGGTTAGTCTTTCTAATGGAAGGGAAGTACTTTTGAAATGGAAGGACTATTTTTTTTTGTTATTCAGTTATAATTTCATTAAGGAAGGGCTGATTCTTTTCTTTTAATATACTTAGACTCTGAGATCTTAGGATTTGGTAACAGGTACTTTTGTTTTTGACTAATGTTAAGAGGGATCTTTTGAATGTGAAGGACTAGCCAGTTCTTATTTATTCTCCCTTTTTGTTTTTAAGAAAAAGAAGGGTGCTGAGTGCTCCTGTTCAGTTAATACCATTTAAGATACCTGAGATGTTAAAAGTTTGTTAGTAGGCCTTTTCTAGTATGCGCTTTTGTGTAAGGATCTTTTCCTAGTATGCTTGACTCACCTTTTTTGCCTTAATTTCTTTTTGTTGAGCAAGGTTTCCCTGTTGTTGATTCCTCCCCTCAACCAAAACTCCTTTTCAAATGCTCTGTTGTGTTCAGGTGTCAACTAAAGTCAGTAAGGAATCCATTCGGTGTCCTCGGAATCCGAGTGTTGGTGGAAGACTAGTCTCCGGGTCGTGTAACGTGTGTTCTACTCCTTGCTCATCTTGTTTTCCTACTAGTCAAAGTCTCATGGAGTCAACAGTTGATGAGTTTTCCGGGGAAACCGGTATGATAAATAGTTTAAGTTTCTCTGTCAATGATGTTTCATCTTCTAATAAGACGAGAAAATGTGAAATTAGACAGAGTAGTGAAATAAACAGTGCAATCCGCATTAGTTCGAGTAACTTATCTTTTTCTGCAAATGCTGAAATTAAAGCAAATGCAAGGACTTCTGATGTTTCATCCGCTACTTCAGATGGTGCAGCGTTTTCAAAGTTAAAGGATCCCAAATCTCTTGAAGGCCTTGATGACAATATATCATGTGTCGTTAAAGCCGACGAAGCTAATAAATTGTCCAGCTCCAGTAAGATGAGCGAAGACAGAAGTCTACAGTGTTCTTGTACTTCTAGTGGAAAAACAATAAATAATCAAACTTCTGCTGGATGTGTACATGTGAAAAATGAGGCAGATGATAGTCCAATTGACCATAGTGGGCGAAATGAAAGTAATGGTGAGGCGAATAATAAGGCATCTATGGGGGAAACATCTTCAAGAAACGCACATAGTATAGGAGACTATTTGGAAAATAACCATTCATCAAGAAAGAATGATGTGGCATCTGAAGCTTCTGGCGATCTACCTGCTGATACTTGTCCTGAGAAGGATGACCAAAAGAGTGTTGGATCACCCGTTTCGTCTGATACAAAGGATGCTCTACAATCACATCAAATGGATGGGAGTGAGGATTCTGACATTGAGGAGCAAGATGTAAGTAAGAATGCTTTTGCTATTTTTTCTTGGAATACTCCTTTTCTTTTTGTTTGTTTTGTCCTCTAAACAAGTAATTTGCTCATCCCAATAGATCAATCCCAGGCAAGACCAACATGATTTGTAACTGATAGTCAGTTGTGATTGAATTTTGTTTAATTACCCTTTGCTGTGTGCTGCACAACCTGACTTAGGAGACTATGGGCGATTAACTTCTAGAGTAGGAAATGTGAGAAATCTTATGCTTTCGTGTTTTTAGATACTGAAGAAGCTAACTAAATTTTTAGAAGATGTAAACGCATTTGCATATCTTCCATTTGCATATCTTCTTTCCTGTCATCAGTCACATGCAGAAATCACTTAAGCTCCATAGATTATGTTTAATTTGGCGCTGGGCATATCTTGCCTGTCGAGGTGGAGGACTATTGAATGACTAGAGCATGACTTATTGGGGGCATCATTCCTACTATGGGGTTAGACAGTTCTAACTTGCTTACAGAAAATAGTACTTTTACGCTGGTAGAGCGAAATGCCAATATCAAATTCTATGGTTCTTTGTTGAAGATGTTAGTACCTCACTCACTGTATATCAGACAGGGATTATTAGATCAAACAGGAAAAACTGCTACTTCAAAAAACAAAGGAAAAACTGTTGAGCAGAAAACTAATGAATAGTTGCACTTCAAATGGATGGTCAAATCGATTAACTTCTATATATGAACACTAAAAAAACAAGCGGTTCCTGATCTGCAACAACTGCTTCGTTGGTTCTTTGTTTGTTTAGATTAGTCGTCCAGATTCATTTTGGCCAAAAAAGGTTTAATAAATTAAGGTGTCATCTGAAATTCCTTTAGCAGGAAGATGTTTTCTCAATACTTTTACTAATTACAATGCATGAAATAGTGCTATGCATGTGACTTTTGTTTCCATCTTTAATTGAGGCACGCATTTCTCTTTTCTTATGCACATAAGTGATGAATTTGGCATGTCTTGTCTTTCTAGTATGGTAAATCATGCTGCCTTATTGTGCGGATTTTGTAGTTGTTACTTCTTCCTAGTTCGTAAATTTGTATGGGAAGACCCTCCTTTTTCCTCTATGAAATTGTCGGTGTAATTTTGTCGCCAATTACAGGTGAAAGTTTGTGATATATGTGGGGATGCTGGTCGGGAGGATTTACTTGCCATATGTTGCAAGTGTACAGATGGTGCGGAACATACGTAAGCATCTAATTCATTTTATCTCCGTGTGTTCATTTTTGTTCCTTGTGTTGTGGTTAATGAAAATGTTGCTTTATCCTAGGTATTGCATGCGGGAGATGTTACAAAAAGTTCCAGAGGGGGATTGGATGTGCGAGGAATGCAAATTTGACGAGGAAATGAAAAATCGGAAAGGTGATAAATCTGTGAAGTTTGATGGATACAGAAAAAGTTATCTTACTGGACAAACTGCTATTGATGATACAGGCGTCACAATAAAAACGGAAGCAAAACCTTCTGATGTTGATGGGGAAACAGCTTCTGATACTAAAATTTCTGGCAAGAGGCGTATGGATGATAGTGAAGTTTCTTCTGTGGCAAAGAAGCAGGCCTTTGAGCCAGCTTCGGGATCACCAAAAACACTAAGTCCCAACAGACTTATTGCACTTTCCCGTGAAAGTTCATTTAATAACTCAGATAAGGGGAAGTTGAAATCCATTAATCAGATCTCTTCTGGAGGTCTTTCTGTTCATGATACTCCAGCGTGGGGTTCACGACTACAAACTGCTAGAGGTAATTTTATCGAAATTGGCTTGGATCATACCTTCTCCACTTACTAAGAGATTCTCTGAATTCTCTAAACTTTTAGCCACTTTGTACGGCTCATAGTATTGCGTTATTAATTAAGCTGGATTCTTTTTTCTACCTGCAGGTACCTTTTCAAAGTCTAATTCTTTCAGTTCCCTGGCTGCAAAACGAAAAGTGCAACTTGTAGATGAAGGTTTCCTGCCGAAGCAGAAATTGGTTAGAGAATCTGCTGGTCTTGATGCGAAAGAGAGTTCGATCCGATCAATGAGCAAATCTATGTCATTTAGATCCATAAGCACAAGCCGCAACAATGTCTCTGAAGCAAAGGTTAAGATGTTATCCCCTAAGTTTTCCCCTGCTCAGGACAAAGGACAAATGCAGACAAAAGAACGAAATCCATTTGAAAGGAAGAGTTCTTTTAGATCAGAACGTTCTTCTGGTACTTCTGTTCCTTCTAAAACCGAGCAAAGATCAGCATTTCGAGGTGACCCTTCTCCACTTTCTTCCTCAAGTAATAACTGTGATTCTAGACCAGGTCAGCTTGACAGCAAACCTGTGTCATTATTGAAATCATCTGGTGCTGTTGCTCGTAGGACTCCAGAAGTATCTGTTCATTCAGGTAGAGTGGCTTTGTGCCTTCTGTATTTCAATCCTTTACTCATAATTTTCGGCGAGGGGGTGGGAGTTAAAGCCTTTTACTTTTAATAGTCCTTTCATGACGTGTCTTTTGCTCTACGTGAATCAGATGAAGCTAAGAAGCAGATATCACTCACATCCATCTCCACTGGAGTTTCCGCTGCCAATAAAATTAGTAGCTCTGATCAGAGGCCTAACCAGAGTAATGCAAGGGGTGATCCTTTGTCGAACTCTTATATTGCTGAGAGACCAACATCTAACGCTGGCGAAGGTCTGTTAGATGGGGTGTCCCAGCAGAGGGAAACAAAAAATGTTGGTGAGAGAATAAGGGAGAATTCTGGGAGACGCTTAAAACACAGTGGAACTGGTACGAAGTCACTTTTCTGCCAGAGGTGTAAAGGAAGCGGTCACTTGACAGAAAGTTGCACTGCTGACGGGCCTGATTTATCCACTTCTGATGTTTCTGCTGTAAAAAATTCTAGAGAGGCCCCAAATGGCACCAGCGATCTGAAAGCTGCAATTGAGGCTGCTATGCTAAGGAAGCCTGGAATTTGCCGTAAGAATAGGGTTTTTGATCAGTCTGATGATTTAGCTATGTCAAACACAAATTCTGAAACAATGGCTCAAGATCTACTATCTGGTTCGAGTGGCAGAAGAATTTTACCTACTAATGAAGAAGTCTATGGGGTTTCATCGAACTCTATGGCTGGCTCCTATAAACAGGAAATCAGCAGTATGAGGCAGCTGTCAGTGCTTCCCGCTGAAGCTCTTAGCAGAGCAGGGAATGCGGTCCCTATTCTTCCATCTGACGAAAAGTCTTCACTTGTTGATTTAGATAGATATTCTCAAGCAGCAGTCGCAATACTTTCGAGGACAGCAATTCCAGAGCATGAATATATATGGCAGTACGATGTCCACCTTTTATCTTAATTTTTGTTATAGTTTCTCCCTTGGGGTTTATGATTGGTTGTAGTTGTGAGATTGTATTGCATTTCAGAAGCAGTTATTTACGCATACTTTTTGTTCAGGGGTGCTTTTGAGGTTCAGAATAGTGGGAGAACTCTTGACTTATGTGATGGAATTCAGGCTCATTTATCAAGTTGTGCATCACCCAAAGTTCTTGACACAGTAAACAAATTTCCTCAAAAGGTCCTCTTTAACGAGGTTTCACGATTGAGCACTTGGCCAATACAATTTCAGGAGTATGGTGTTACAGAAGATAATATTGCACTGTTCTTTTTTGCTAAAGACATTGGGAGGTAAAATTTGCTATTCCTCCTAAGCTTTCTTGCTTCCAATAAATCGGGTGTCCCACCAGCATTATCTAGGTTTTCGATCTGAAATTGATGATATTGTAAAATGTCTCAGCTACGAGAGGTGCTATAAAATTTTGCTGGAGAATATGATTAGGAATGACATGGCTCTCAAAGCGAATCTTGAAGGTGTTGAGCTGCTGATATTCCCATCTAACCGGCTTCCTGAAAAATCTCAACGTAAGGATGATTGCATTTTGTGAGATTCCTTGAACTTGATATATGCTGTGCTTTGACATTTTTAATGTTATTCATAGCTAGTTTATATTTTTAAGCATTATCTCGTAATTATATGTCAAGCATGAGGCTCAATGGACTGTGACAGACTTGATTCACATTCTATTACCTTGCTTTGCTATACGGAGTTACTGGATATGGGTGGATTAGGGTTTTGTGAAGTTTCTGATCCTGTACTCCGATGCCAAAAATAGAAGAACTCGACTTCTGTAACTTCTTTTATCAGCATTTGCTGAATACTTCCCTTTCAATTATTGTTTAAGCAGATACTGCTTTTCTGCTTGCTACATTAGCTACTCTTTACTTGCTTCTATGCAATTGTGGGTATACTGGTCAGCGCATTTCAGTTCATTCACATGTGGTGACGAATGATCCGTAGGTTGTTGAAATTGAACACATGCATCAATGCAAACTTATGCTCTGGAAGATACTTAATGCAAATGAGATGGAGAAAGTTGCTCTTTGTTTTTGCTTATTCTGATCATCTTGTTTATGCAGGGTGGAATATGATGTTCTTCCTATGGGGTGTCTTTAGGGTAAAGAAGGCAAGTTATGTGCAACATATGCAGGCAACTGGAAAGCCATTTCCTGTACCCCAGGATATTCCAAAGTCAAGCATGCCTTTTCCAGAGAATGTACATTGTCTCGGCCCTGTCGACAATGCTACGAGTGATAATGTTTCCATGGATGGTGAGGTAATTGCTTCAAAGGAGTCTGGTTGTCCAATGGTCAATGGAAATGTTGATTCGAAAGCGTCCCAAGTGTGCAAAGGTGACTCTGTAGCCGTAAACGTGGAGAACCTGGAGCCTAGCTCCGTCAGAATTGTACCAACTAGCCACTTGAATTCTTCCCCAGGGAGGAGACGATATGGCATTTTCCAGGTGCTGTTTTAACTTCATCATGTTTGCATAGAGGGGTTCGCCAACCGCTGTTCAATGGTTCAGTGTTGTAATAGTTTCATCTAGAACAAATTTGATTAGTTGTTTCCTGCTTATTGTCTTTTGAATGCAATATGGTTTCTTAGGTGGTGGGGCATTTGTATTTACCCTCTATTTCTATCTGGGATGTGCTTTTTAGGTACATGTGAACAAGGAGGTTATGCTTCCATTTATAGGAGAAAACTTGAGAGGAGAAGTGAGAGAGCAAGGANCCACCCCCACCCAAACAATCCAACAACCCAACCCAAAAAAAGAAAAGAAAAACAGGCACACACACTCACAGAGATAGTTCCAGTCCAGTGCTGCTTTGAGTTCCTTTTGCGACTCTAGTATGTTGTCTGCTTGGTTGCTTCAGTGACTTGCTATTCAGTACTTATTGTGTTTTTTAATTCTTGCCTTTAAGAAAAAGTACTTATTCTGTGTTTCGTTGTTAAGGTCTTGCAAATCTGGGTTTTTGCTGTTGAACTGGTGACCTTACAAACAAATCCTAGTCAGCATTGAGTTTTCTAGTTTGTAAATAACATGTCATATATTGATTTTTTTTTTAATAAGGTAGGATAAAAAAACATGTCAACTCAAAGTCCAAATGCAGCCCAATTCTGGCATTTGTTGCTTCAAGTAATGGTGTCATTATGGCTTGATTTTTCAGAGTTTATATCTTTTTCTTTTAGGTTTGCGCATTTCTTGCTAGTATCATTTCCTCTCTTTTGGCTGGTGTAAGGATCATTGAGAGCACTTGAGTCATTTGACTTGATATCCAGACTTATGGATGTATTCTGAATGTCTCATTATGTCCCAAAACACTGTAGTTGGCTTGGGCGACCCACTGAGAGTCTCTACCTCAATCTTTTATTTGGTTCATCTATGACTTCATGGGGAAAAAATCTTGGACTTCTATTTGTTTACGCTTAGGATATAGTTGAGTTGTGCCATGTGCTATTATGTCCATATCATTCATTTGTTGCTCAAATCTAATGCTCAAAGTTGGAATAGGTAATTGGCTATTATTTCAGGCTTTGCAACTGTCCCGATTCACTTAGATTTGGCATAGCTTATTTTTGCATGTTGTCTTCCTCATGTCAGTACATCTGATTTACTTCTCTTGTGTATACTGTCAACCTTAGTTTTTGTGTTTCGTTGTCACTGTTTTAATATGCTTCCCTGCTAGTTAGTTGTCACGGTTATACTAGAGGCCCGCCATCAATCAATTTTTTGCTAGGATTGAAGTTAGGAAGAAGTTCTCAATAACAATTGAAACTAAAGAAGAAAAACTCTATGGTTGTTTATCTTGTCGCAAGCTAGTTGTCCCTTAATTGTCACCCTGCTGCTATGTAGTGGATATGGTAGTTGGTTTAACTTGTTATTCACAAATGTTTCTTATGCTTCTTTTTTTCTTAGTAGTGAGTGTCAGCTCAAATTTCTTTTCATCAAAATCATGTCTAATATATCCTTCATGCTGCAGTTATATGGGTTTTATTTTTCTGGCTCAATACCTATTGGCAGCATAATTGGTCCAAAAGATTTGGCCTCTTTTAGGTCAACGGCCCTGGTCATCCTGTAGGGACCACAAGTGGAACATGTCCACAGTTTTGTATTGCTCACCCGCCTTTTAAAATTCTTCTAGTGGCTTGATTTATTGCCTTTACCTAGTGGGATCAACTTGTGCAAAATGTTCATCCTAAGCCTGCAACCAGTGGCTTGGGTGGGTGTGGGGGTGGGGGGGCTCCCTGTTTTCATTCCTTGAATGTTTATTCGGAAGATTTTCCCTTACTCTGTTGCTTAAAAACTAGTTCATTTACGTTGCTGCAGCTTGTTCCTAATGCACATCATTAACACTCTTTTAGGTTGGAGATGCTGGACAGGAATGCAAATCGGAATTGCAAAGTAGTTCTACTCCAGCTGCCAATACTTGGGCAAATGTTAGTACAACTGAACCAGTGCCAATGGAATGTGGTTCTTTAGTTGATAGACAGAGGCCATTCCATTCTGTTGATGAAGCTCCAGGCCGTATGCAGGAGAAAGCTTATATGGGCAGCACTGAGAGGGGCTTCTGTAGCAAAAATGGTAGGAAATTTGAGATAAATCTGGAGGATGAGTATAAGGATGAAGAAGCATCTGAAACGAGCGGAAGTGCAACTACTGAACCAACACGGAAGGTGCTTAATAGTGATATGCTGAACCACCTGAAACGTCCACGTTCTGTGGAGACAGTGATGCAATCTGTCGACTCTGGAGTTAATTTGGCAACCCGAAGTTTTAATGATAATGACATTGTAGTTGAAAAGGCACACTACGACAAAAAATTGAAGACTAGTGTTGGTGGATCATATGGTAATAGCGAGCAAACTAGTTGTTCCAGTGATGATTTTTTGTCACGGATGCATGGTTCCTCTTATGGACCCTATCTTCCGGATACAGGGTGTGATGAAGCTCTGAGTAAAGCAGCTATCCCGGAGTGCTCAGGGAATGCTGCAAGATATTTCTTCCCTGTTGATCCACATCCTGTTGAGGCTAGCTCAGTGCCTTGGCAAAGGCATCATTCAGATAATGATCGGCTTAGTGATAGAGTCCCTAATCTTGAGCTAGCGTTAGGTGGTGAGTCAAATTCACTGACACAGGGAATCCCACCCTTTTTAGTTGGGAAAGTAGACAAGAAAATCATTCAAGACCAAGGTGCTGAGACTCATTTGCTGACTCAGGGAATCCCACCCTTTTTAGTTGGGAAAGTAGACAAGAAAATCATTCAAGACCAAGGTGCTGAGACTCATTTGCTGACTCAGGGAATCCCACCCTTTTTAGTTGGGAAAGTAGACAAGAGAGTCATTCAGGACCCTTCTTCAGCTAAGGAAGCAATTAGAGTGGAGGAGGTGGAGGATGTCTCTGCTTCTCTCTCCCTTTCTCTTTCATTTCCTTTCCCAGAAAAGGAACAGCAAAAAGGTTCTGTTTCACAAAATGAGCAGGCAATGCCTGAAACAAGACGAGGTAATACACCTCTGCTTTTCTTTGGGGGGCTTGGCAACAAGTAGGGTGAGATTACCAATAACGGTGTACATTATAGTTATTCACATGGATGCGGTAGGTTTACAACATGTTCATAAGGATACAGGGTTTATAATTTTGTTAGGTGTTTCTGGTCTCAATTTTTATTTAGCTTGCAAGTGCAGAGTGACGGCCCTTTGTAAATATAAAGAGGATATTAGCCGTTATGGGCTCTGGTACCATAGAAAAGTTAACATTTCCGCGCTGCTTCAGTGTTATTTCTTTTAATTATGAATCATCTCCCAGTGACCTCCTTTTATGAATAAACGCAGTTTCTGGCTTTCTGAAGAGGATTTTCACCTAATGAACTTCTGCAAGTGGGTTTAATTGCTTTAAGACATTCAACGAGTGTGCAAGTTGCGATGATGGCCCAAATGTTTGTGGGGATGGATAATGATAGAGTTAATGCTGCTTAATTGTTGATTATGTTGGCACCTAGTGATTCAGTATGGTTATTCTGTCGCATTAACACAGGGTTGCACTAATGTATGTTAGTTTCATTCACCATATGCAGGTTTGGTTGTTTAATACATTCATCGATCATAACAGTGAAACTATAGACGCAAGATATGAAACGCCTACTACAAGAATTGTTTTTATAATTCCTTATTGAGGCTATTACAGATGGAGTATACTAATTTTGGGCTGGAGTAATCTCTGGATTATAGTTTCTAGCTCGCACAATGAAATTTGACATAACACCGTCTCAAAATCTTCGAAATTTGAAAACAAAAAGAAGTGTGGATATTTGATTTTCCCGTCATTTATTTACTAAATGATTTAGACATAATTATTACAAAGTACAATTTCATTAATGTGATAACAAATAATTTCGTCACTTTATTATTATTATTATTATGTGAAAAGTTCTATAGCTGCACGTGAATTAAGTGCGAAAAATGTTGTAGGAATTAGTGTCAAACAAGTAGAGCACTTGAAGGACTTGCGCATTCAAAATTGGATGGTCAGGTTCTCGTACTACAGATTTGGTCGCTCTTTTTGAGATAGAAATTTTTTACAAATATTTTGTTGCTTTTTCCTTGAAGATAGAAGAAACAGCACACGTTAAAAGATGCAGGGCAAAGGTCCAAATATGCCCTTGTACTATACGAAATTGAGCACATTTGCCCTTCGTTAATACTTTAGCTCAAATATGCCCTTACCGTCACATAGTTGGTCCATATATGCCCTTAGAGTTACACAGTTGGCCCATATATGCCCTTTTCGAAACGGAATTCACCCAAACTAATTAGCTCTTTCTTTAATTGTATTAAAATGTGTATTACAAACACTATTTCCTTTTTATTAGTACTTTTTTCTTTACCTTTCTCTTTTCTTTCTTCTCTTTTTTTTTTCCTTTTTTTTTCTCCCTTATCCGATTTCCTCCATTAGTGTTGTCTTCTCCATTTTCATCACCAATTTCACTTGACAAAACTCATGAATTCCAATTACTAAGAAAATTCTCCCATAAGGTAATAAAATTTCAATTTCACTGGCCCTCTAAATAAACGAAATTAAATTATTCCAAAAATTATGGTTTAAACTTTAAAATAATAAATAAACGAAATTAAATTGTTCCAAAAATTATGATTTAAACTTTAAAATAATAAAAATATCTCAACCTTTAACAATACTCAAAAGACCAAAATATTTAAATTGTTTTCAGAAAGATAACTTAATGATTAAAAGCCTAGAGTTCAAGTTGTAGTGTTATAAATTTGAGTTGTTAGTCTTTTTTCAGCTGGACATTTTCTATTTTTTTTTATTAACTATGTAGATTAGGGGTGTACATGGAACGGGTTGGTTCGATTTTTATCAAAATCAAACCAAACCAATTATATCGGTTTGGATTGTTCGATTTTGTTGGATTTTCGGATTTTTTGTTACATAAATATTATTTCAATCTTACTTTGTTAAATTTTTTAAAAACTTGACAAACATATGATCTATAAAAATATTCTTATGGGAGAATTTTCTTAGTAATTGGAATTCATGAGTTTTGTCAAGTGAAATTGGTGATAAAAATGGAGAAGACATCATTAATCGAGGAAATCGGATAAGGGAGAAACAAAAAGGGAACGGAAAAAGAGAAGAAAAGAAAAAAAGAAGAAAGAAAAGAGAAAGGTAAAGAAAAAAAGTACTAATAAAAAGAAAATAGTGTTTGTAATACACATTAATACAATTGACGAAAGAGCTAATTAGTTTGGGTGGATTCCGTTTCGAAAAGGGCATATATAGGCCAACTATGTAGCTTGAAGGGCATATATGGACCAATCATGTGACGGTAAGGGCATATTTGAGCTAAAGTATTAACGAAGGACAAATGTGCTCAATTTCGTATAGTATAAGGGCATATTTGGACCTTTTTCCGAAAGATGTATGCATATAATCTATTCCAATGAATTTGGAATTAATGCGTAATATTGTCGTAAAGGGCGGACTAAAAAATGGAGTGTCCTGATAATAACACTACAATACAATCACTAGTAGACGGTGAAGAAGTAGGCGATATGAACTATGTTCACTTTTCTATTTTATTTTTCTTTTAAAAAAGGGAACCTAATTAAAAGCTAGGTCATAAGTCATAACCCTAAAAATAGAAGAAGAAAAAACTATTGCTTGGTGACCAATTTGATGGGAATTTCTTATGATTAAAATTCATTCGGTTGACTATTTCTTGTATTAATATATGATTATTACTATAGTGGCAACATGAGATTGCTGTCCTATATTCGAGTCAATTACTCGTATGGTCACTCAACTTTTCGAAATTATCTATCAAAGTCATTTTTCTTTCATTTGTAACAGCAAAGTCACTTAACTATGCCTATAACACTCAGAAGGTCACTCAACCAGATTTATCAAACTTTTGATCGCCAAATACCTATTTTACCATCTAAATTATCAACTTTTATCTTCTATTTTTTTTGCCTTTTTAATATTATAATTTTCTCTCTTTTTAATCAACATTATGGACTTACCTATATAACTAAAATATTTTTTTTAAAAATAAAAAATAAAAAATTATTTTTCTAGCATTATAATATCGAAATAATAATATAATTGAGTATAATAATCAAGAATATGTAATGTATATTACAAAAATACTTTTATTTTAAATAATTATTTTCTATAGTACGTGCATGGAATATATATTTTAAAACTTTATTTTCTTTCATTCTCAATTATGTAAATAAATTTTTGAGTTTTTTTTGTTAATTTCAAAATTATTATTACAAACAAATTATTCTAATTAACTTTCTATTATGCTCAATATTTTATTATTCCAACACTGTATATGCTTAAATACTATTTTAATTTTTTTTAATTATAAATAAAATTTATTTATTCTAAGGTAAGTCCATAATATAAATTAAAAAGAGAAAAAAAAATATTATATTAGAAAGCTAAAATAATTAAATAAAGAAGATAAAAGTTGATAACCTAGAGGTTAAAATAGGTATTTGATGAGTGACCTTCTGAGTGGTATTGACATAGTTAAGTGACTTTGTTGTTACAAACGAAAGAAAGATGACTTTGGTAGATAATTTCGAATAGTTAAGTAACCATTTGAGTAATAGACTCTCTATATTCTTCCTATCCTAATTGCATCTTCTAGCATTGGCCTTTGCCTTTAGTGTTATTATTTGGTGTTCCATTTTTTTAAAAGTAAAAGATACAATAATAATTATGCCTTAAATCTTAAATAATTTGGGATCGACCGTATGAATACTCAATAAAACTAAAAATAATGAAGAATGATTAATGTTTGAATGTGTTGAAATTAGTCCTTAGGTGATACTCAAATTTATTCCCTTACAATTTCCCATACTTAGGGTATAAGAAAAATTAGCATATTACTAGTAGTTTTGCCAGCATAAAACAAAGTTTGAACCATATAATCAAATTTGGAGCTTTTTGCATATTTTCTGAGAAAACATTTCTTTTCCAATTCCTCTATTTTCGTGTTATATTGTTTTATTTGTAATGGACATAGTTCGTTGGTTTTTATCTGTTATTTTGAAAATGGCTTATTTGGATTGCTTTGCATCATATATAAAGTATATTATCTACTCTCTTTTTAATAATAAAGAAACAGCTTTTACTCTTATCTCTCTAAATAGAAAACACAAAATCTTCATTTTCTTCACTCTTTGCATCTACTTACGGCTCAGCCTCGTCTCTCTTTTTCTCCTCTTATGGCGACCGGCGCTGCCTCATTTTCGTTGTCAGGTACCACCCGCTCGACTTTTCTTCTCCTTTTCTAGTTTTAATTACCATTGCTAATATTACGGAAATGATGATACTTTTTTTTTGTCTGGTTATTTTCGGATAAGATTTCAGAATGGGCTGTAGTAGCTTCGAATCAACCATCAAGGAATTAATCTATAATTATGACCTTACCTGTCTCTGAATTTCTCTATTTTATTGTGTGGATCTTTCGCTGTGATTAAAACTGTAATTATTTCTGATCAGTTGTAGAGAATTTTTCCTTCAGATTGTGTTTCTCGTTACATTATTTCCTGATTCTTTAAATTCGATTAGCTTTAGAGTCTTCATGTAACTTTCCTGGCGGAGTTTATTGCGAAACTTATATTCTCATATTACTAAAAATACTTGACGTGTTAGTAGTGCAAATGCATTAGAAAACACTCCATCTGACCAGTGACACACCTCTATTTTATTGTCTGTCCTTTCTATGTCCCTTGGTTTCGTTTGTGGAGTTTACAAGCTTTAATTAGAGCTAAGCATTGCTTCATCAGAAAAATAAAAGCTTTAATTAGAGCTAAAGGAATGAAAGTTTAACTCTATAAGGTTCAGAATCATAAATTTAGGGTTTCTGTCTAGGACAAATGGAGATGCCTGAGTGTTGATTCTCATGAGAATCTAGTGATTTTCCTCCTTCAAAGTTATGTTCTCTTGGCGTCTTGCCCTCTCCTTGTACTTTATAATTGCATCTTTGGAGTTTCCAGGAATTGAAAGAATCTCCGAAAAGAACATTCTTTTAAATATCCTTTTCTGGTAATACTGTATGATTGAAGAGATTGCCAAGCAACTCTTGTTGAATTGGTGAAGTGATAGTATATTAACGTGGCAACGAATCTCTGACTGTGCTAGTGATTTTACTTACTTTTTTTTTTGTTTGGCTTGATATTGGGAGTTTTCATTTGAGATACTTTTCTTTTTCCTTCTAAATTAGGTGCAACTCATGTCAAAGCATGCGAAGCTTGGTCTGGAAAGTCATCCTCGTTTGTCAAGACACCTATGGTGGCTATTCAAAGAAAATC